GGGCTGGAGAGATGGCTCAGTGGTCTAAGGCACCTACTTGGAACAAGCTTGATAAAGCACATGGACCGCGGTTCGATTCCCCCAGCACCACATGCCAGCCAGCTGCGCCCCCTGGTGAGCTGAGCTGGCCACACTCACACACACACACACCCCCCAAAATAAATGTTAATAAATAAATAAATTAAAAAAAAAAAATAAAAGCAAATCTTATACAGCCTTACATTTCAATTATTTTTCTTCAAAAGGAGTGAGTTGTGTACAGGGGGCTTAAATGCTTTATAGATAAGAAAAAAACTGCACTGGAACCAACTTATTCAACATCATCCTCTTCTTCATCCTCCTCATCCTCTTCTTCATCTTCTTCTTCCTCTTCATCCTCATCTTCCTCATCCTCCTCTTCTTCCTTCTTTTTCTTCCTTTTTTCACCTTGACGACTCCGTTTTTTGCTGCATCAGGTTTTCCTTTAGCCCGGTAGGCAGCGATGTCCTTTTCATACTTCTCCTTCAGCTCAGCAGCCTTCTCATATGGCTGCTTGTCATCTGCTGCAGTGTTATCCCACATTTCTCCAAGTTTCTTTGCAACATCACCGATGGAGAGGCCAGGATGTTCTCCTTTGATTTTTGGGTGATACTCAGAGCAGAACAAGAAGAAGGCTGAAAGAGGCCTCTTGGGCATATTGGGATCCTTGAACTTCTTTTTCATTTCTCTTTTAGGAGGAATATAAGTTTTCATTTCTCTTTTGTAACGAGCCTTGTCCACTCAAGTTTTCCTTTTTCTTTAGCAGACATGGTCTTCCACCTCTCTGAGCATCTCTTAGAAAACTCTAAGAAGTTAACAGAAATATCCGGGGCTTCTTATGCTTCTCTTAGCAAGCTTGCACAAAGAATGCATATGATGACATCTTGCCTCTTGGCTTCTTAGGATCTCCTTTGCCCGTGTTTACTTGTTTTCCTCAGTGAGGTACAAAGTTGCCCAGTGCCTGTCCGGCTCTCACTTGTCCTAGCGCTGTCTCTATGGAGCTTAATGTACTTGGGGTGGTGTTTTAAAATCTCCACTGGTAGCTGTGCTGAGCAGCCATTGGTGTCAGGATGGGTGAGGTGGTAGAAGTATGTGGGATGGGCCAAGGGAGGGAGGAGCTGGTGATTTTGCTTCCTGAGAGGGCCAAGCCCAGCTGTCCTCTGTTGCTGTAGCCATCGGCCTTGCCTTATGGGGGGCTACTGCCTATTGTGGGAACCTTGGTGGATAGGCTGCTGGACATGGGCTTGGGGAGGGGTATCTGGGGCCTGGGCCATGTGGAGGGAGACTGGATGGATTGGGCGGAGGCCAGGAGGACACACATAGCCCTTCTAGGCTGCAGTGCTGTACCTTGACATTGAGGAGTTCAACAGCCTCCTTCCCTCTGTGAATCTCAGGTTCCCATGTGCCAGTTGGGTTTCTATCTCCCCTCACAGTAGAGAGCTGTTATAAAGAGCTACCCTGGAAAATGAAAAGAGATACCTAAGATGAAGGATGCTAGAGTGGATTGAATGGAAGAGGATGGGAGTCTGCCTCCTGAAGGAGTGGGGTGGGGCTCAGGTGGGTCTCTTGAGGGCCAGGAGTGGGAGCCCTGGGGATGAGATGGGGTAAATGGTGAGGTTTGAAGAAGAAACTGGTAGGGATGTGGAGAGGACACCTATGATATAGCTTGGTTTGTTGCTGGGAACTGGGAGCAGAGGTCTCCGGGAGCTTCCTCAGGGGGAGAAGATTCTGTACCTAATTCAAGGCCCAGTGTTGACCTGTGCTGGTCAGCCGCATCCTCTCCTTTTCTTGTTGACCCTGGAGCCTGTTATGGGGAACTCGAGGCAGAGCAGAGCTGGCTGACTGGGTGCCTGAAAGAATTTTTCAGGGTTTTGAGCATCCTGGAGGTGGTGGTGATTTTAGTGATGTTGATAGTGATGTGGACATTAGTGGTGGTGATACAGGTAGTGATGGTGGCACGGGTAGTGACATTGATAGTAATGGTGACAAGATAGTGATGGTATTTAGTGATGTGTACTGGCAGTGACAGTGACACTAATGGTGATGTAACACATGATGGTGACACTAATAGTGATGGTGATACTGAGATAACACTGATAGTGTTAGAGATAATGATGGTGTTGGTGACAGGACGGTAGTGACAGTGTAGAGGAGACTAGGAGATGGTGACAGGTGGTGACATTGGTGATTATGACCCCTAAATAGGAGGAGACTCCAACAGTGAGAGTCTGTCCCCTCTCTGTCTCTGGAGGAGGAGGAGCCTCCCTTTACAGCCATAAGGGCTGGCATCTGGGAGGTAAAAATAGAAGCTCATGGTGCCGTTTCCTCTGCCAGCAGGGTGGGTGTGGACCAGGGGGAGGTGCGGCTGCTGGGAGAGTCTGTGGCAAACGTGGTCTTCCTTCTTCTGGGCACCTTGCCTGGTGTAACTCACCTGCTGGTTCTCTCTGGAGCCTCCTGTCAGTTTCCGTCCCAGGAATAGAATCTCTCTGTCTAATAGAGTGCTGGATCTTCCCAAAGCTGAAGGCCAGAAAACCTTGATGTGTTGTCCTCCTTCCAATGACAGGCACAGCTGGGGTTGTAGAGTCTCCTTGTCAGGTCGTAGTAATAAGGGGTGGGGGAGGCTATGCACAAAATACTTAAGACCCCTGGGTCTTAGCTTGAGTGAGACTGGGCCTCTGATTTCACCCTTCTGAGTTTAACTTTTCTCATTTCTAAAATAGTAGAGTAGTGGTATCCATCTCAGTCCTCCCTGTGGGGGCTAGAGTTGAACTTGACCCTGTAGCTTCCATCCCCTGCAGGGTCTGCCAGCCTGGAGGGGTGGGCCACTCTGGGACCCCTCCCCTCCAGGTGCTGGGTGGAAGCCATGAGCACCACACTGACTCAGGCCCTGGCTTTTCTCTTGGCAGGATTGACAAGACCATGCTGGCGAGCCTGAAGGTCAAGTAAGTAGTCACTTCTTTTTCTCTCGAGGCCAGACATGACAGTCAGCTTGGGCTCCCCCAGGGCCTTTGAGCCCTCTACATTATGGGGAACACTTGTGGATATCACACTGTTAGATTCTAGTCTCAGTTGGCTGGGGGTGGGGGTGGGGTAGGGATGGTGTGCTTCCCTGGACAGGGATTTGATTCTTGGCTGTCCAGGGAAAGACAGAGGCGGGAGCT